TCTCTATAAGTCACAAGCGACTTGACGGCACATAACAACGATGAAGATAACAACAACAATCGAGAAATAGCACATTTAGATGGTTTTGTCAAACAAATTTATTTTCTCATATTTCATTGTTGTTGTTAGGTACCTTCAAGTCAACTCTTAGTGAGTCTATATACAACAGATTGATAGAACAGATTGTTCTTGCACCCCTCTCACTATTTCCAATGCAGTTAAGTTCATGTTAACTCACCATGTCAATCTATTAAATAAAGGGTTTTCTTCTATACTTTTCCAAGTATGATGTCCTTTTCCAGGGATCTAGCTTCTTGATAAAATTCCAGAATAAAGTGAGACGAGGTTTCACCATCCTTGTCTCTAAGGAGCATTCTGGCTGCATTTATTACAAGTCAGATTTGTTAGGAGGTTAGAAGTTGGGATTCAGAGCGTGTTCTGTAGGGAGGTTTTCTTTCTGTCGGAATCTCGAGGAAAATTCTGTATTCTTTAGTTTCTAACCCTTGGTCCTTTGGAGATCTCCATGTATATTGGCATCTATTTTACTGCATCTGTTTATTATCTTGCTTAATTATATTTACTATCTTGCTTAAGTAATCTCATTCATATCCGAAAAGAGAGCAGGCTAGTATACACTTTATAGTAATCCTGCCTCAAACTAATAAAGTCAACTCATTTCCTAATGTGATTAAAACCATAAGGACAGAGGTTAGGTTCTAAAGTATTTGGGAGGGCAATTCAATCCATAATAAGGGCTCTCAAATAGAATATATTTGGGAAGGGAGTATGCCAGGGATGCATCCTATCTCCATACCTTTTCAATCTATATGTGGAACAGATAGATCATCCGAGAGGCTGGGCTCTATTAGGAGGAATGTGGCATCAGGATTGGAGAAAGACTCATCAAAAACCTGCATTATGCAGATGACACAACCCTGCTTGCTAAAATTGAGGAGGACCTGAAGTGCTTGCTGCAGAAGTTCAAGGACTGCAGCCTTCAATATGGATTGAAGCTCAATATTACAAAAAACAAAGATTCTCACCACTGGGCCAATTGGCAACATCATGATAGATGGTGAAGAAACTGAGATTGTTAACAGCTTTAGTTCACTTGGCTTCACAATTAACACTCTTAGTACCAGCAGCCAGGAAATCAAAAGACAAATTGCCTTGGGAAAATTTGCTGTCAGGGATCTCTCCAGAGACCTGATCCAGGCTATAGTCTTCTCAATTACTTACTATGTATCAGAAAACTGAACAATGACTAGGGATTACAGATGGAGAATTGATGCTTTTGAACTGTGTTACCAGAGAAGAGTATTGAATATACCATGGACTGCTAGAACAAATAGGTTTGTCCTAGACAGAATGAAACCAGAGTGCTCCTTGGAGGCAAGGATTCTGAAACTTTGTCTGACATACTTTGGACATGTTGCAAGAAGGGACCAGTCCTTGGAGAGGGACATCATATGTGGGAGGGTGGAGGGAGAGTGCAAGAGAGGAAGACCCTTATTGAGATGGATTGATTCAGTGACAGGGGTAATGGAGGTAGGTGTGTCAGAGACAGTAAGGTGGGTTCAGGATAGAGCAGGGTTCAGAACCATTGTATATAGGGTCACTATGAATTACAAGCAACATAACAACAAACAACATATTATGTATCATTTCTTCACCTTAAAAATATAACTGTGAGGTCAGTGATTGTCAGGATTTCTATGGGAGAAGGAAGAGACATTTATTAGTAAAGCACTGAGCATTTTAGAGCAGAGAAACTATTCTGTATGTTATTATAACAATGAACACAAGACATCATATATTTGTCAAAACCTAGAGAACAGTACAACCCAAAGAGTAAAGCCTGATGGAAGTTAGAGACTTCAGTTAATAATAATGCATCAATATTGATTCATCGATTTTAACAAATGAACCACAGAAGTTCTCGAAATTAATTATAGGAAAAACAGTGTGCAAGGACAGGTAGGTGCTTGGAGTCTCGGGATGTGTTCTGTACAATTTCCATATAAATAAAAAACTGCTAATATATATATATATATAAAATCTACTTAAGAGACAAAAAAAGTACAGAAGGTGATAGCATGTCTACTCAACTTACTGTCATAGAATTGATCCCAATTCATTACAACCCTCCAGCTTTCTTTCCACAAGCAGCTGGTAGAATCACCAGAGATGGGTTTTTTGGTTAGCACCATAACACCCTACAGACTATGCCACCAGAGCTCTCTACATATCCACTGGTGAGCCATAATTAGTCATAATATTTTATCTGATCCAATGCTTCTCTCCTTATAAAAATATTTCATATATAGCTGATGCTTCAAATAACAAGCCATTTCAATAGCTCATCCAAAGATGACCCCAGTGCCCCACACCCATAGTAGTTACTTTCTTGTGTAGCCCCTTGTACGCATTGTGTCTGGACTGACCTGGAAGCAGAGTAACCACTTGAAGTAGGCAAAAATGATGCTGAGCCCTTACCAAGTCCAGCAATGAGCGAGAACAGAAGTGTCCTCTTTCTCACTCTTAGAGCACTCAGTTTTTGAAACCTTATATAGTCATATTAGAAGTCTGACCTCCCTGCTGAAAAAAAAAAAAAAAACCAATACATGGAAATACACATGAAGGAAAAGAGGTTCTAAGGCATAGTAAAGGAGTGTTGGTGGCCCAGTGGGTAAGGAGTTGCACTGCCAACCCAAAGACAAGTGGTTTGAATCCACCAGTCACTCCACAGAAGAAAGGTGGACAATCTCCTCCTTTGTGACTTAAAACCCCTGAAAGCCCACTATGAGTCAGCTGTGAGGTGATTCTAACTCAATGGCACATGGCAATAGCAATAACAAAGACATGAGACAGAAAGACCAAGAAAGACCAGGGAACTGTTGAACTTAGCTTTATAGCTGTTCCTGACAATGTATCAGACATTTGAAAGGGTTGTCTTGGATATTTTGGGCCATCCAGTAAGACCCCCAGATGACTGTAGCCCTAGTCAACAATTCAATGGACTGGAGAATCACCCCACATGCCTCAGGAAACTCTACGGACTTTGATAAAACTTGATAGTTGTAGAACAGGTTCAGGACTTTTGCTCATAGGGTCGCTATGAGTCATGCTCAACTCAAAGACAATCAACAACAACAACAACAATAAAATGATGGTTGTTTTAAGTCACTGAGATTAAGAGTGGTGTGTTGTGCAGAAGTAGATAATAAAAATGAAAATATCAATTCTTCATAAACACAAGGAAACTACAAAAGAAGTAGAAAGAGTTTAAAAACATAAAGAGAACCTAACTAATCCATAATATCCAAACCAGGAAATAAATAAATTTACGTGTTTTTCCTGTTTCATCCAAGTCTTTTCTTCGATACATAGATTTCCCGCATTTGTGATAAAGTATGTATAATTGGGTTTCCCCCTCACCTAGCAACATAATGTAAACATTTTTTGGTGTCCTTAAACATTTTAAATATGCATAGCTTGGGATCAATAAAGTATTCTATCATATAGATGTAAAGTACAATTAAATTGGGACTGGTTTTTGTTTTTTTTGTGGGGTTTGCTTTTAATCCTAACTTTATATGGAAATTGTTTCCATTTGCATTTCTTTGGTCACTAATGACTAGTTGTCATTTAACAATGTGGGTGCATTTGTGAAGTATATTCATGTTCAATAATGTAGCAAATCTGTCAGAATATAGAAAATAATCCTTTTCAAATTTGCTGTTTAGCTTTTTATTTCAATCCTGAAGTTCTTGGTTTATAGGCACTATATTTTAAGTAGGTGTTATGTGGTATCCTTAGTACTAGCAGTCAGGAAATCATGAGACGTATTGCACTGGAAAAGTCTGCATTTAGGGGTCTCTCCAAATTATTTTGGTATAATGATATCAGTTTGAGGACTAAGATGTGTCTAGTTCAGGCCATGGTCTTTCTGATGACTTGCTATACATCTGAGAGCTGGACAATAAATAAAGATGGCAGAAGAATTGATGCCTTTGAGCAGTGGTGTTGGAGAAGAGGGCTGAACATCCCATGGATGGTCAAAAGAACAAACAAATATGTCTTGGAGAAAGTGCAGCCAGAGTGCTATTTGGAGGAAAGGTGAAGAGGCTTCGCCTCACATACTTTGGGCATGTTGCTAGGAGGGGCTATTCCTTGGAGAGGGACATGATACTGGGAAGGGTTGAGGGTTGGCGAAGGAGAGGAAGACTCTCAACCTGGTGGATTGGCACAGAAACTGCCACAATGGACTCTAATGTGTCAGGAAGTGTGAGAATGGCCCAGGACAGGTCCAAGTTCAGATCTGTTGCTCATAGGGTCGCTATGGGTCGGACTTGAATCAATGGCACCTAAGAAAAACAACAATCAAGTCTACCAATCTTTTTTCTATTATGAGGGGAAAGTAACCAAAAGCAGCAGTTAAATTAAATATGATCACTGTCACAAAAAGAACTTCTCATTTTGGAAGCATCTGTCCCACAAACATTGACAGTTTTCCTTCCCTTCCCAAAGAAGCGAATGTCAACATATTCATGAACTCTGGGAGTCCCAAATCCAAACATCAGGTAAGTCTTTTCACCCAACCTGTGAGATTGACCATTTCACTGAGGAAACACTATGTACCAAAAAGAGGCTGGGATCAACCAGATTTAAATTAAAAAATCTTTCACCCAACACCCAAGCATCATGCTGAGCTTCTGAGTACACATCTGTCTACTGATTCAGCAAGCTACTAACAGACTAGCCGTTCTTAGCCTGAAGTGGTTTTTCCTCCCAGGGGTACATTTAACCGTATCTGGAGAGATTTTGATAGTCACAACGGGCTTTTTACGTTGGTTACTACTGGTAAATAACGGACAGAGGCCAAGGATGCTACTCAGCATCCTACAATGCACCGGACAGTCCCCCATAACAAGACAACAGCCATTCTAAAATGAATCCTCTGCCCAGCGTCAGCACACAGGAACACGAAGACTTCTTACCTCTGCTATATAGTAATACTTGCCGCTAAGAATCTTTCTATAAAGCCTTGTATGGTTGTCATCGTCAAAAGGCAGGAATCCACTGAGTAAGACATAAGTGATGACCCCGAGAGCCCACATGTCCACGGCACTGGTGTAAGGTTTTCTCAACAAAATCTCAGGGGCTATGTACTCCGGCGTCCCGCAGAACGTCCTCATGGTCCAGTCGCCACTTTTGTTGCCAGAGTTTGCCAACCCAAAATCTGTGATTAAAATTTTTGACTCCGCACCTGGATGATAGTATAGCAGGTTTTCGGGCTTGAGGTCCCTATGCGTTATGCGCAAAGTGTGCAAATATCTCACCCCATCCGCCACCATGCGGAGGATTCTGACGGCATCCTTCTCCGTGAAGGACCTCTGAGCAATGAGCCGGTCGAACAGCTCCCCTCCTGTGGCCAGCTCCATCACCATGTACACGCAGTCCGGGGCCTCGAACACCTCCATGAGCTGGACAATGTAGCGGTGACTCACACGCCTCAGGACACTGAGCTCCGCGTCACTGGCCTCTCTGCCTTCCCTCACTTTGGTTTCCATCACTTTTATCGCATATGGCTTCTTGGTGGCTTTCTGCTCCACCCTGACAACCTTGCTGAAACTGCCCCTCCCAATAAGGGCCTTGATGTCATATCTGCTGGGAAGAAGAGCAAAGTGTGTCATTCCTGTAAAACGACGGTTCTCAAATTATTTCAGTCCATGCTTTATTTATATCATCTTTTCTATTGTTCTAGAACACTCCGGTGTCGCTAGTCTTTGGTGACTTGTATTACTTACTACCAGCAGTGGTTCAAATCCACTAGCTGTACCACCAAGTAAGATGGGTAGTCTCCTCCAGGGTGATTTACAGCCTCAAAAACCTGCTGGAGGATCAGCTATGAGTAGTTTCCACTCCATGGCAAGGAGGTGGAATTGGGATTTCTATTCTTATAGACTATAGTTCATTCACTTAAATTTATTGTCATTATTATTACTCCCATACGTATTATTGCTTAACTCTGTTTAGCATTTTTGAAAGCTACTTCACATACTTTTTTGGACAGGTAGGGAAGTGAAGACATAGCATTAATTAGTTGGCAGTTTCTTCTTGTTGTTGTCGGGTGCCATCAAGTCAGCTATGACTCATAGTGACCCCAGGAACAACAGACCTTGGCCTTGCCCTATTCTGTACCATCCTCAAGTTCTCGTTCATGTCCAAGCTCGTTGTCATAGTTACTGTGTCAATCTTGTTGAGGGTTTTTTCTCTTTCTCTGATTCTCCACCTTTCATCATATCTTTTAGCAAGATTGTTTTTGTTTTCTTTTTAAGTTGGTAGATAGACAGTTTCTACAGCCATATCATAACTCATTGCTATTCAGAACTGAATCATGCACAGCTGACCTGTGGGGTTTCAGAGGCTCTAAAATGAATGGAAGATTACTTGTCTTTCTCCTGAGAACTATACCACTAGAGCTCAAAACAATAGCCAACATTTATTAAACATTTAAATGCCGGACATTTGATATAAATGAAAATATCTTAATCTTTACAAAACCTCAATGTGGTAAACAGTTAATGTTAAGTCAATTCCAACTCTATGAATCCCGGAGTAGAACTTTATTCCATAGGGTTTTCAATGGTTTCCACAAGTAGATTAACAGGCCTCTTTTCCAAGGTTAGATTTGAATCACCAACCTTTTTCAGTTAATGGCTGACTGTGTAAACTGTTCACAGCACCAAGGCAGTCCTTCCTGGTGGTGATGGTGTTGTTTTTGTTAGTGGATGTGATACTAATATTACTGCTTTTCCCATAAGAAAATGAAGGATACAAAATGAATTATGTCATTGTTAAACACTGTCGAGTCAGAACCAAGTCATTGCTGAGCCTCCAGTGGGTTTTCAGAAGGGCAGTAAGTCACACAGGAGGGGATGGTCTTTCTCTCACAGAGTAGTTGGTGAATTCGAACTGCATGCCTTTGAGTTGGCTGCAAAACTCCTTACCATTCAACCATCAGAGATCACCCAGATACAAGTTGGAACAGATGAGATTTGAATTCAGGGTCAGGGTTAGGGTTAGAGTTAAATTTCAACTCCTTTAAATTCATTTCACCAAAATTTCCTGGAAGAATTTTAGGACTTCTTCTATAGTCTTCTTACCAACCCTTGATTTTATCATTCTTCAATAGCAAATACCAAATCATATGAGGAAAAGGAAAAAAAAAAAGAGTTTTGTTCCTGATCATAATTTCTCAAAGGAGAGAGCATTGTCAGGAGGCTGGATGTGAGCACCACCTTCTGTGTGCTACTTGGTTATGAGGTCAGTCCCATACTGTTGTGCACACATAGCTCTTTAACCAATTAGCACTGAAAATATCAAACATGGCTGTACTATTATAAATGCAAGTTTCAGAAGTCTAGGAGGAGTACTATTAGGACCACCTTCCAGCCAAACTTCAACTGTTGCCTCCTCACCTCTCACGTCCTGCATTTGCAATTTCTAAACAATAACCAAAACTTGACCAGGAGATATAAGTCAAGAATATGCAGAGCTGACACATGAAGGCTAACAGAAAGAAGAGAAATGAGGCAAGATTTCAAAGACTGCAGACTAGAGAATGATCAAGTTTAAATCCTCATTTCACATAAAAGAAAATTTGATGCTCAGGTTAGCTGATTCATGGTTTAAATTGCAGAATCAGCTTTAGTACCTAGATCTTATTTAAAACTTAATTTGGCATTCTCATCTAATTAAAACTTCTCTCAAGTTGAAGGGGAGGTATATTCACACAATGGAATACTATGCCGCATTGATAAACAAGGAACTCATGAAATATTATATAAAATGGGTAACCTTGGAGGACATTATGCTGGGTGAAATATCTCATTCACAACAGGACAAATACTGCATAATGCCACTGTTATAAAGCAGGACTGACATCGAGATTGGGAGGGACTCAAGAAAAGAGGGGATAAATAATGCACACTGCACTGAAATGGTTGAAGGAGAGAACTGCTTAAAAGGAATATATGAATAGGTATTATTTACATGACAACAGTCCAGAATAAGGGCTGCATAGTAAAGTGGAGGCGGGGGAGGTGGATTGTGTAACAATGAAAGACTTTTTTTTTTCAAAGAGAAAAGCGAACTGGGGAGAAGGGGTGAAGGGGTGGACAAGGAAGGAAAATGTACAACAATGAATGAATGGAAGTTCATGTTCTCTACAAACTTTTATTAAAATGTCAATTTAAAAAAAAATCAACAAAAAAACATCTCTCAAGTAAAATTGTTACAAGCCACCCTGGTGATGAAATGGGTACCCAAAAGAATGGTGATTGGAACCCACTAGCTGTGCTACCACAGAAAAACCTAAGAATCTGCTCCTGTAAATACTACAACGTAGGCTAAAATTTGAGATGAACCGAATCATAAAGTGCTCCTGTGACCAGGTTATTTGTTTGATGTCTTGTTAATAAGAAAGAAAAAATGAGCACTGAGATGCCTATAAATCCAGGTTTCCAAAATGTATCTGGGTCATGAGATGCTGAACACTCACCAAAGCCAGAATAGAACCTCCTCGATTAATGAATAGCTGTAATGGAAACTGATTAATGCTTTCTCTCAGAAGATATGGTGGTGGGATTTGAGACCTCTCATGTCCTAGTGGGAAGAAGCTGTGATGTAATCTTGAAGGCATGTGGTTCAAATCCACCAGCTGCTCTGTGTGCCAAGGATGAGCAATAACTGCAATTAACTGCCTCTGAAAACTCGCCAGAGGGTCAACTATGGGTTGCCAGAGGGTCAGCTATGAGTCGGTTCTGACTGTACAATACACAACAACAAGTAGAAAGGATTTACTGACTGATGCTGGACTAGGGTGGGGATGGAGGTTAGGGCTGTGAGTAGATTTTGTAACAATCCCCTATGAGATAGGCTTGAGGCTCTCAACTACTGACACCGGTAGCTGTTATGTGGCTAAAGTCAATAAAGCTTCCTAGTTACAAAAATAAATAAATACATCGGTTACAGCCTTGAAAGCATTCCTGTCCGTTCTAGTCTGTCCTATACGGTCCTATTGTGTCAGAAATTATTTGGCAACACACAATACAGTTGTCAAGGAATGAAAGAAAAATCTACAGTAACCAGAAAAGAGAAAAGTAGCCTTTTAAGTCACATACTCCATAGCAAATTTTCCAAAGTAAATATCCATGTGTGTTTTAAATAGTCTGCCCCTACCCCCACTCCAAGCTTATCCTTTTGTCATTTTTACTGCTGCCTGCTTTTCGGTTCTCCATATTCCTGTGCTTGCTGAACAAAAATGACATTCAGCTCCACCAGCCTTGTTCTAGACAGTGCACTTAATTTTCTGGCCAATTACCTTATCAAAACAGATAGCAATTTAGTAATCTTAAATAGATCCTTTCTCCCACTTCCCTCCCCAGTTCTGCTTTTTCTATTCACATGCATCCCTGGTGTGATTGTGAACATAATCACAGGCATTTCAAATGTCATTGCTCTGCAGACCAACCAAGATTTACATTACCTCTAACGTGGATTGAAGCACTTTGTAAACACTAATTTATCACTCTGCCCTCAAACTACAAGGCAAACTCATTTGCTCATAGAATTAATCATCAGTTATCAGAGAAATTACCATTTTGGGGGAACTACAATCTTTTGTTCAAATAAAACCAGTTTTATTCAATACTGGGAAGGGCCTTCATATAACAAATATCTGATAAAATGCGAGTTATTTGCCACAGTGATCTAAGTCAAGATTCTAGAAACTCAAACTCAAGCCCACTGCCATTCAGTGAACCCTTCAGATTTCCTACACGGCAAATCATAACGCATAAAGGCCTCCACAAGAGCCACTGGTGGATTCGAACCACCAGAGGTGTGCAGCTTTGGGGTCTATGTGACTAGAGCTCCCTTGTTGTGTTATTGTGGATCATCAGTGGGAACTGACCCATAGCTGACCCTCCACTGGGTTTTCAGAGGTAGTTAATCGCCAGGAAGAGATTGCTCACAGGATTCCACTGTCAACCCAAAGGCCCTGCCTCTCTGGAATTTTTAACCACCAGCTCCACAGAAAAGATGGGCCATCTCCTCTTTTGTAATTTACAGCCTTGGAAACACAATTGGGAAGTGGGGGTAGTTAGCTATCAGTCTGTTCCAACTCCACATCGGTGACAGAACATCTAAATGAATACTTGTATGTGCACTTTGCAATCCAAGTCATTAAGCTATCCACCCTCATAACAGTTCTTTGACGGAAATTCAACTATGATTCCTATTTACAGAGAAATGTCCAACAATGTTTTAAGGGACACTACAGGACACAAGAAAGAAGAGTGGATCCCAAGTGGGCTGGCCTCAAAGGCCTCTTTCTATTCCATTGTGATCTTTTTTTCCCCCAGTCTCTTTTTTTTAATTTTTTTCTCTTTATTATTATTATTAATTTTAATAAAAATTTACAGAGATTTTGGATTTCCATTAATTCATTGTTGCACTTTTCTCCCTGCCCCCCTCCGCCCCAGTTCACTCTTCTCTTTGAAAAGTAAAAGAAAAACTCTTTCTTTGTTAAACAATCCCTCCCCCTCCCCATGCCCACTCCACTATGCAGCCTTCGTTCTGGACTCATGACAATACCTAGTCATATCTACCTTTTCAACAGTTTTCTCTCTCTCATCTATTTCAGTGCAGTTTTGTCATAAATTTTGAAGAGGATCCTTCACAGCTTGGCCTGGCTGGTCCAACCCAGCACTTCTCATAGGCCCTGACATAGTAGGGGAGGAGTGGGCGGTGGGGGTGGGGATTTGGTAGGAGATGGAAGGCCTTGACTCTTCCCAAATACTGAGCACATAAATCTCCTTCCTATCCTTGCTGCCCATCTTCATCAGCCTCCATCCTCTGCCCTCCCTGAGGTGGCCCAGTCCCAGGCCACCCCTTAGACCAGCGCCTCCTCACCAGCGGCTTTACCTGGCCAGGACGCGCGGGTCGAACTTGGCTCGGAAGCGGACCACCTGCATCCTCTGAGCTGCCTCAGCCACCGCTGCGGATCCCGGCCCCAGACCACTGCCGTGGCCTTGACCCTCCTGCTTAACTCCGGCCAGCGCAGGCAGCTCTGGGACGATCTTCCTGCTGGCTCCACACCCCATCCCTGCAACACGCGCGCCCCCAGAAAAGGGCCTGAAGATCCAGGAAAGGGAGGTTTCCTGCCTGCTGCCTGTTTATCCCAGAATAATGAAGATGAGGCGGGACAGGGCGCCTACCTATAGGATGGGTTCAGAGAAAACCCCCACTGTGTGGTGTCTGTTAGACAAATAACCTAAAGACTCCCCGCAGGGCACCCTGGTCATCACTAGCTGATTATCTGCCTACATAATTTGACGGGAGCCCTGGTGGTGAAGTCCCTCCCAAGTGCACTGCTAAGAGAAAAAAATCGAAATGTGAGTGCATTGCTAACCCAAAGGCCAGACACCTGAAACTCAAATCCAAGTGCAGCTCACTGGACCGGCAGAATGATGGGCAGCCTCATCTACTGCCATTTAGAGCCTGAGCAACCCAATGGGAGGTTGCTATGATTCAGAAGCGAATCCACAACGGTGAGTGACTGACTGTTTGATGCAGTTAAACCAAAATATCATGAGGCAGGCAGGAAGCTTGAACTTCATTCCCTGGGCCTCAGTTTTCTCATTTGCTAAATGCGGAAGTTATCGTGTAAAATCAGATGATTCTATGAAGTGAATCTTTTCTGTCCAGGGTTCCTACATCCTGATAGCATGATTATTAAATATACTTTTTAGAACATTATGCTGAGTGAAATATCCCAGTCACAAAAGGACAAATATTACATGATGCCACTGTTGTAGAATGGGACTGTCCTTGGGGTTGGGGAGA